ATATATATATATATATATATATATATATATATAGTTTACTGTATATATAATTTATTTAATTTAATTGAAATATTTATATATAAAGTATATAATTGATCATTTTACATTATATATATTTTAATAATTCTATTTAAAATGAATTGTACACACACATATATATAGGCATTTTAAATAAACTTATTTTATACATATGTAGAAAATGTAAGTTTATTTAAAGTATATATTAACATGAATCAAAGGATCAGCTTTTTATGATGACAGTTATTTTATTTATGTGTACATGCAAACTGTCCAATATATGATGTGCGTTTTATAGTCGCTATTGTAATATTTAATCCCAGGCACCTTTAAAATGACTCTGAATAGGTCTCAGGTGTCTGTCCTCTTATATAAGATGTGTTCGTATGAGCTCAGTTCTGCTTCTCTATGACAGTCTCTGGCAGAAGGGCGAGTTTTAACTGCTCTTGTCCAGATATTCCAGATTAGGGGCATCTAGACGCTGCTCCATGTCCTTGTTCTTGGCGAACTCTTTGAGCATGTCCATCACCTCGCTCTGGTACACATCAGGTGTCGGCTGAGCCTCTGATGGGAGGAAGACCGTATTTAGAAACACATTCCTGGTCTTATTGTGTGTGATAAACCAGTGCATGTTATTACAAAGAAAAAAATCAATGGATAAAATCAAGTCAAACTCTTGATTTAGATTTCAACTGAATGCCTGAGCTGTGCACCATTGTTCATCTCTTCTATCTGTTTAGTTTGTCCGTTCATACATACCTGTTGCCCAGTAGTAGATGTCCCAGTCGTTGCTGGGTTCATTGATGAGTCTGTCATACTGCTTTAACTGAGATTCACTCATTGTGTTCAGGTACTGCTTAGCAAAAAGGCTGGTAACAAAAAAAAAGTCACAGTCAGAGTAGTTATATAGTATGTAGTAATAAATATTATGCTTATTTTTGTTTTTAAACTTAAAAAAAAAAGTTAATATGATTAATAATAATAATGGTAGCACTTTACAATAAGGTTCCATTTGTCAACATTAGCTAACTATTAGTTAACATAAACTAACAATGAAAAATAAACGTATTACATTTACTTTAGTATTAATATTCACTAATAGATTATTACAATCAAAAGTTGTATTTGTTAATATTATTTAATAGACATGAACTAATAATGAACAGTTGTATTTTATGAAGTAATCTCAACAAAGATTATTAAATAAATACTGTAACAAATGCTTATTGTTAGTTAATCTATTAACCAATGTTAACAAATGGAACCTTATTGTAAAGTTTTACCATATTAATTCATATGTAACAGTATTATTTTATTTTTTATATTTTATCTTTAAAATCACTGAGATACTGTTAAAATCACATCAGGAGATACTGTTATAGTCTTTATTCATATTTTTATTTAATTGTTATTTTTATATCTTCTGTTTTCGTTTTAATTTTAGTAATTTTGTTTTATTTTTGTAAAGTAGTTTTTGTAATGTGTATATAGTTTGTGTTCATTTTTATTTCCAATTTAGTTATTTTCGTACATCAAGATATACAGTATATATATACACACACACATAGTATTCAGTGTATACAGCTCATTAGAATTCATCCTGAACATACTTAGATACACTTAGACAATATTATATGTTGTTGCCAAGACTAGAATAAGTTTAGCTGTCTGTTGAGTCGGTGGCATTTATCTAGATGTGTTCTTGACCTGCTGACCTCAGAAGGATGCAGTTCTCCAGCATGCCTCTCTTGCGGCTCTCGTACAGGAGTCTCTTTCTCTTGATCGCCAGGGATTCTCCTGTCCTCTCCTGCCACGGAGGCCTAGGGATCTCAATGATGGTTGGTTCTGGAGCATCACCACGGTATCCCCGAGAAATCACTGAGCTGACAGCTGGACGCAGTGATGCCCGGCAAACAGAATGAACCACCTGGAAATGTATAGCTTTAGTTAACTATAATAACCCTGGTTTGTTCATATATATATATATATATATATATATATATAGGTGCATCTCAATAAATTTATATATAAACGTACAAAATTAGGTCTCAAGAGGTGAATAATCTGTAACATTAGATGTTCATAAACAAGTAAAAAATACCTGCTCAGGACATTGTCTTCTAAAAAAAACTAATTATGTAAACTAGTATAAAGAGTGAAATTAGCCTTGTGTATGAATTCAGAGTACAGTTAGCGTAAGCGTCCTCATCTGCCCTTGCTGCTCATTTAAAATAGGACAACAGGATAAAAATCCAGCTAAACAATTTATCCAAACCCCTGCGTTTATTTGGATGTTATACATTAGCTGTATGAAATTAGTATGATGGGCTGCAGAAAGAGGACCTTGTCATCTCACTTCAGACACATGAGGTCAAATGTGATCTTTAAAACTTGTCGCCACATATGAATGCAAAGCAAACAAACGTACCTTTCGTGCGATAGTTGCTGAAAACATGTTATCGTGGAGTGTTTTCGGTGATGTGTGGCTGATCAGGTGTTTGGCTGACAGTTTTTTTTTTAATTATTATTTATTTTGAAGGAGAGTTTATGCAACTGTTTCACAATCAAAGCAAAAACGCCGTGCAGCGGGCGCCATGTTGGTAAGGTCAATATCGTTTTCTTATTTGAATATTATTTGAATGTTGCTTTTAATAGCTCTTTGTTTCTATGTCGTGCAGACATAACGTGTGTGTATTTTAACCTTCGAGTTTGTCCTTGACCTCTAGGCTGACACGCGTAAATTTAATTAAGGTTAAGTCTAATGAAAGCTAGTCTTTGTTTCCCGGGGAATGTATTTCAGTGAGCGCTTGTGCGAGCGGATGGACGTTTTCGGCGCTATATCAATTTTTAAAGGGACAGTGATGCATAATTTCAATAATTACTAATTATGCATAGTAATCCCATACTAATTATCTTTGCTTTACGTTTATTATACGCAAAATAAGCACAAAACCTATTCAATGTCTGAAAATAAACTCGAATTACATTCCAAAGACTAAAACTAGTTTAATGTGTCCCCAAAATACAAATTACAAAGGTCGTAATGACTTAAATCTGGCAAAATATGTTCATCAAAGTTAACAACACACTTTACAACACACGTAGCAGTTATTTTAGTATTATTTTTTATTTATATATTTGGAATTAGCTTTTATCTTAACATTTTGTTGTCATTTTAATACTTTGTTATTTAAATATTACTATTTTGGTCAATAAAATTAATTTGTGATTTAGTTTCATTTTAGTGCTTCAACCTAAACACGTCAGTTACTTGGCAAGGCAAACATTTATAATTTGTATTTACATTTTTTCATCTAATATTTATATTTAGTTTTTAGCTTTATTTGAATTAACAAGAATGTTTTTAATAGTTTTAGTTAATAATGATAACAGTGTGATGGCAAGTGCTTTTATATGAGATTTCTGAGGTAACATGGTAAGATTAAAATCACTTCAATTGCACTAGGTGCAACAGATGTGTCAATATGAATCATTGTTATATAGTAAAAAGTAAAACAAAAAATCTTGTGTTTTACAGAAAAAAAAATGACAGCAGACAAATTTAGAAAATAAGGGTGAATAACAACATTTTGCATTTTTGAGCTAAGGTTGGGGGTATTTTTGCACAAAAAACATGCACATGTAGCCATTGATTACCATTTTAAGTCTGCTACACACACTAACTAAGATTGTAGAGTCACTGAAGTAGATGCCTACGCTGGATTTCCTCAGTGTTTTGATAACACTAGTTGAAGACAGGTGAAGCAAAGAATATATCCAGGTTATACTTGCCCCTCTAAGATATTGTGATATTTAAAAAAAAAAAAAATTAATGAACCACACAACAGATACATTTCAATCTTTATTTAACAAAATGCTAATAAACAAAAATTCAACATAATAAGCTTGCTTCAGATATAGTCTAATGAACCAGCCATTTCCATGCCCGTGCCTGTATCTCTTCCATTAGGATCAAGTCTTTGAAAATATGAGGTTGAGTGGGATGTGCATCTTCAGTTGCACAGAAAGCTCCTCACTTCTCCAGCGGTGCATAATTCAACAGCTTCTCAATGAGATCCACGTGAGCCAGAAGCATCCGGCGACAGCAGTATCTCTTCAAACCCAGAGCGTCAAGAGCATCACTGTGAAAACCAGCAGAGTGAGATTCAGTTTGACACGGGAAAACACGCAGAGAAATCAGACCTAAATGGACATTTCATAAACTCACCCTTCTGTATACTCCGCTTGAAGAAGACCTAAATACGCCTCCCATTTGTTCCCAACAATCTTCCCACAAGTGAAGCAGCGGATGGGGATGATCATGGTGAAGGACGAGAGGCCTGAATCGAAGAAAAAGTACACGTTTATTAACCTGTTTTTGACTAGATTATTCCAGTCATTCATGATTATCAGATAAGGATTTTTAGAAATAATTTCCTAGCGATTGCTGGACTTTTTTTTTTTTTGTACGTCATTTGTGTGTATTTTGTTTATTTGTATGTCAGGTACCAAGCTTTTGAATAAAGATAAGCAATGTTTTTACTATATCAATGAATTAATATAAGTATATATATATATGTATTAGTGTTTAAAAGTGTCTGCGATATGTCTCTCAACAGACAGACAGAGGTTTTACTCTGCAGAGATATGTACATAAATATGCCCTTAGATAGATAGATAGATACATAGATAGATAGATAGATAGATACGAAAACGAGACAAAACTCAGTAATAGTTGTAGAGATATTCATATGATGCCTAGAGATTTACAGTAACACTACATAATAAAATGTGTAATAGAGTCGTTCAGCTCAAGATATGTTCCTTAGTTAAGAATCCATAACTAAACTCTTACTATTAGAGCCGGCTATTATTATGGAAGATGTCAAAAAATGTAAGAAACATTACCAAAACAATCTCGCACGCTACACACGTTCCTCTTGCGCCGCTTACAACAAACGCATTACATCTGCATAATTTCCGCGTTGCGTTTGTCAAATACGCACGGGCGGAAACAAGGTCATGAGAAGACATCCGCGCGCTTCTGAAGTCCGGAGCAACATGAGAACATTGTATGGAAGAAAAATAATGTCATATGTCTTTGAAACAAAAAAGCACTTTGAATAGCACTAACTGAAAAAATTATGCATTGCATTAACAGTGCTTGCATTTTAATGCCTTGTATTTCCAGGGCTTGCATTAGGTCCTGAAATTTAACATAGTTGTCTATTTAAGCGGTGAATATTTCAATTCAAAATATTTCACACACATTTTCATAATTAAAAATTCAATAATTCATATTCACCTTCCAGAATTAACTTCCAAAATATTAAATCTGATTAAAAATACGATGTATAATATTCGACAGGCAAATTTCGGCCGGGAGCTGCAGGAATAGCAGTAGAGCACCGATGCATGATCTCCAGCTGCTGTCAGTCGCTCACCAGCAGGTGGCGCAAGCGGCTGTTGATGAAGACCAAAGCAACAGGTGGATCAAGTCATTCATTCACAAAAACAGATTTGCAGAAATGGAGCAAGCACTAGAACTTTTGATTATCGGGGCCAGTATAAACGTGGAAAAGCTGATTGTGTGCATGTTTAATTCAACATCTTCGCTGTTTCCCTATTATTCTTTATGTATTCATTGTTTTGTATTCTAGTTGTGTATGTATTTTATTGCTATGACTGTATCCCCTGTGAATGTTATATCTTTAAAAAAAAAAAAATCTTAGCTGTTTCCCGTAGCCTACATGTAAGCAGCTTTCTCTACCACAGAGGAGATTATAATGCTATTTTACCCAACGCTGATGTACAGAACTAACATTACATCTGAGGAAGACATATATTGCTTTCGGCTGCTTAGTTTCCTTAACTTGTATCATGGCTTGTGTGACCTGTGCTGTAATACTGGGGTTCCCCTCATACATCACACTCCAGGATTCCCCAACTACACTTAACATGCATTATGCAAGGCATTATTTTTTCAGTTAGTGCTATTCAACATGCTTTTTTTGTTTCAAAGACATATGGCATTATTTTTCTTCCATAACATTCTGTCACACTCCAATAATTAGTGTAAATTAAAGTCACCATATCTCTGTAACAACACAAACTAGTTCATCTAAAATAAAATATGCTATATAAATAAATATTCTCTGTGAGAGCAAAGCCCAAAGCTCGTGGCCAGTGGTGTTCGGACTGGAGTTTGAACCTATATATTGAACCTATATATATTGGCTTTGTTCTAAGCAAAAGGGGTGTCCCGGGGCTCGAAATTCGTAGGGTAGGAGCGGGTAGTGACGCTGGGTGTAACTAAAAAGGTGCCATTGTCCGGTGAGGTCCGGTTGGGGTCTTCCATAACATTCTGTCAAACTCCAATAATTAGTGTAAATTAAAGTCACCATATCTCTGTAACAACACAAATAAAAAATAAAATTGTGTCTTATATTTGTTTGTTTTTTGTAGCTTCTTTTAGCCAGACACTTTCTCCACATCAGCAGTTTTTAAACGATCTGATGAACAATATGTTAAAACCTTCGATGGAAAATTAAAAATAAATAAGCTGTTTAGTGAGAGATATAGGGAGAGACTTATTCTTATATTGTTTTATTGTTTCGTGCTGTTAAAAACTAGCATTGTTGATGGAATATAATAATTTTAAAAAACTAGGGCTAGAATAAAATAATCAGACTCTAAAAAGCAGATCCGGTAATAATGTAAAATTCAGTAAATGCGTTTTTTGTAGGATTGCAGCAAGACTATCAAACACAGCTATAGAAGTCATTTATGTAGGTATGTCCTTTGATGATTGATTTAACCCATTGATGAAGTATTATGCATAACCCCTGACCTTTGTATGTTTTTGTTGTTGTTCTTCCTTTTTCCAGTGATAGATGCATGTCTATATTACCCGATTTACTAATTCCTTGTTAATAGCGACTGTGCTTCATTTAGTAAATAGTTGAAATGAAAAATAGCAAAGACATCTGTCACAAGTATGAAAAAAAACAGGCTTCAAGTATTGAATTCTGTCCAAAAATATCTAGAGAAAAAAAAAACACACTGAGTCTGGGAAAATATGGTTCATTGTCCTTTAATAAGGTCATCAAGTCACAAGGGAGCCATCTTGTTTTAATTCACACGAGGAACAGCAGAAAGACAGCAGGCGAGGTTGTGTGCAAAATAAATACATATGGCAGGAGGAAAGGGGCCACATTAGAGGAACAGGTAAACTTCATTAGAACAAACAAATAAAATCATAATCACTCATCATCATCATCATCATCATCATCACCAAGACAACCACCATGTTGCCGCATCATCATCCACATCGTTACCCTCAGTATCACAACCAATACACAGTCTTCTTTCTTTTAAATACAGAGTTCTATTTGAATTATTGCATTATATACGCACTTTAAAGAAAATGTCATTTTCTGTAACAGTATGTCATGTGACGTGTGAGTCTATATTGTTCGTGTCTGCATGCATTTAGGGATTGTTTCTGTTGTGTGTAGCGCTCATCATAGTGTAACTGCGAAATTGAAGCTGTTGGCCGAGAGCCGTCATAATCTACGTTGCATCTATTTCCATTGGCCCACTTCAGAAAATCGTCAACGTCGTTCAAACAAGAAACTAAGATTTTGAAATGGCACAGATGGTCTACAGTATGCAATTCACAGGCAAGATTATTGAATGACTTGTGTTTGTTCGATGGCTGATGTCAAATACAAAATGAACCCATATAATATTTGAAATAGCTGAGATTCTTTCTTTACATTTCTACACCTTCTCTCAACAATACAGGCCTAACTGTAATAGATGTCAGTGGCTTGATATGTACATATGGATTTGCACAAGCATTTAAGTATGAAACCAATTGCTTTTATTGGTATCAAGATATAAATGGCATTTAATTTCAATAAATGACAGAAAAATTCTGTATTTTTAACCTTGAATCATGCATCTTAACGTTATTGTAGCTGGCAGTTATGGATTTAAGTCCAGCTTGAAAAACGGAAATATTTTTGGATAATTGGTTTAATCTCAACATTGTCGCATGAATGAGGGTGTTTTTGAGCATCAACCAGCAGGCAGAGTGACTAGGATGAAAGTTTTGGTGGAAATGTGCATTGGCTACAACTAAGTTGAATGTTATATGAAAAGTGTTTGGCCTAAATGCATCTCTAGCTTGCTTTAATAGCTGGCAGGAACGTCACCACAAGCACTGAAATTAAAGTACAGCATAAAATTAAGACGCCTAGTGTGTAGAGTGACCATACGTACTCGTTTTCCCGGACATGTCATGGTCAGGATTTCTACATTACTTAAAATGCCCGGGTTTTGACTTTGTTTTCCTGTTGAAGCGGTCTCTATAGTCTTCATACATTGTATCTATGTGAATTTGCAATGCTTTGGCCGTTCTCTGTAGATCCCACCTTCGCGTGTGCGACAATTGGTCGATTATGTACAATGCCTGCATGCTACTTTTCAGTCATTATGAAAATCAAAGCCAAAACCCGGACATTTTTGGCAATTTGGAAATCCTGGCCAGCACATGTTCAGGACAAATAGGACATATGTTCACCCCGCTAGTGACTCCCCACCCCTTTATATAAACTTTAATAGTCTGTGAAGTAATCAACCCCACTGTTTAACAATTAATCTTAGGCCTTGGGTCAGTTTTTCTTGGCTAATAAGATTACGCCCACCAATACAGCTCCAAGGGCGATGACAGCTCCTCCAATCAGGAAAGGCTTCAAATTTTCTAAGGTTTCACAGCTACTTCCTGCGGACTCCGCTGCCCCCTGTTGGTTGGTCGCTCCATCTTCCGCCGGCTTCTCGGGCTCTGCAGGTTCAGCAGAGACGGGGTCTGGTTTTGGCGGTGGGGCTGCCTCCTTCTTCTCTGCTTTGGAGGCAGACTTCGACGCTCCTTTGGCTTTTGCTTCCATGTGGGAATGGGATCAGGGGGTCAAGGAATCCGGCAGGTTTTCCTGGGCTTTCCTTTAGGAATACAAATATAAAGAAAAGGGAGAGATTGAGGTTTTCAATTTCTCCATGTGCACTGTTCAAAAGTTTGGGTCAGTTTTTTTTTTTTTTTTGAAGGAAGTCTCTTTTGCCCAGCAAGGTTGCATTTATTTGATTAAAAATACAGTAAAATTGTGAAATATTATTACAGTTTAAAATAACTGTTTTCTGTTTTAATATATTTTAAAATAGAATTTAATCCTGTGATGCAAAGCTGAATTTTTAGCATCATCACTCCAGTCTTTAGTGTCACATGATCCTTCAGAAATCATTCTGATATACTGATCTGCTGCTCAAGAAACATTTATTATTAGCCATGTTGAAAACAGTTGTTCTGTTTAATATTTTGTGCACCGTGATGTATTTTATTTCCAGGATTTTTTATATTAATAAAAAGATCAAAAGAACAGCAGTTATTTGTAACATTATAAAGGTCTGTACTGTCATTTTTGGTCAATTATAATAATAAAAAAAAAAACACTTACTGACCCCATATGTAAAAATATTAAAAGAATGTTAAAAGAATTAACAAAAATGTAAAAAAAAAAATAAAAATAGATAAAATAAAATAAATACATTAAAAATTACAAAACCTACCATTATAATACTTTCGCATTTTCTCATATGTATTTATTTATTTATTTAATTATAGTTTTTGCTTGACAGCAGTGGACCGAACTAGCATATAAAAAAGAGCTGCTGAAGCAAATTCTCCTTTTGCATTCCACAGAAAAATGCATATGGGTATGGAATGAAAAAAATGTGAATATGTCACAAAAACAGAATTATATCACGTGAAACATTTGAGCCTTTGACCTTGATGTAGCAATGACATTACTGTATATGCAGTGGCCTACTGACTGCTATATGCTATACGCTCACATGCTATATTTGCTTGTATTAGACAGCCACAGGGCAGCATCCATTAGTCGTTGCTTCCTTAAAAAGCATGTGCGTCTTTTATGTGTAGAAGCTTTTTTTAGGGTATGTGGGACAAAAGTGACAAGTAACTCTTAACATCAGTCATGTTCCTTACAGACCTTTTGCACCCACAAAACACAATGAATGATGTTTCTGAAGCATTAAACGTGAACTAGTTCATCTGCAGCATGCAGAAATATCCCTGTGAATCTGCATGAGTCATACAGGACCGGTGGAGGGGAGCACTGTACATTAAAAATAAATAAAATCACACAAAAAAGGACTGAAGCCCCGCAGAACCATGCAGAGAAAGCGTAACCTGGAAAGACGGACTGAAAATGGGTTAATCGAGCATCTGATGGATGTGATTAATGTAGTGATGCAGTTATGATGGCTGCACAGGCCACAGCAGCGCATCACATTCTCTTCCAGTTCTGATGGATGGATGGAAAGATGATGATGGATGGAACGTACCTTCTTTATGTTGCCTTGTAATCCTTGCTCACCTTGTCCTCTTTTCAAAGAAGGATGAAGAGACAGAGGATGAGAAACCAAGAGATCTGCTCTGCAGGAAGGCCTGAATCCGTCCTCAAGGAGAAACAGAATCAAAGGAAATGGAGTTATGGAGGGCACAGCAGCAAGAGCAGGAGGAGGAGGAGAGGAACTGGGCTGTACCACTCCATCAGTGAGAACAGGGGGGCGCAGTGCAGCTGGGGTGCGTGTGCTTTCGTTCAGCTCGAACTGGTGTAATGGTTGTTGCATTGACGTTTTATGTAATTTTACCTTATTGACGTCATTTAGGTGCTACAGTCCACAGCAAACACAGACAGTTACTATCCCGGGGCTATCTCTCTCTCGATCTGTCTGTCTGTCTGTCTGTCTATGATGAAATACTGAGTATATAAATTATCTAACAGTATATGTCGTGTTTATCTATCTAGCTATCTATCTATCTATCTATCTATCTATCTATCTATCTGGAGTAAATACTATGCATATAAATTATCTATCTAACAGTAAATATTGTGTATATAAATTATCTACCTATCGAGTAAATACTGTGCATATAAATAAATTATTTATCTAATATATTATGCATATAAATTATCTATCTATCTATCTATCTATCTATCTAACTAGAGTAAATACTGTATATCAATTATGTATCTAACCATATATATATATATATATATATATATATATGGTTATATACATATATATACATCGGCCTATATATTGTCTATTGTCTATCTATCTATACTATGCAATGAAGTACTTTATAATTGTATGTATTGATTAATTGATTTGTTTCTCATCCATTGGCACTCCCTGCTGCTTACAAAGGCTTAAGAAATTCAGGAAATGACGTCGTTCCACGCCCAGCATACTAATTCGGAGGAGTCTCCTCTGTATTCACTAAGCCCGTCCCAGCAGTGTGCCAGTGGTTCCTAAGCAGCGGAAAAGCGCAGCGCCTCTTACGGCAGTCAACGGATGACGTGAGCTACGCCAGAAGTGCACGCGGGAAACGGGTCGCGGGTCCAGTATGCGCAACTGGAATGGAGAATCGCAACGACGTTGCTTCAATGGAAAAAAGATCGTAGCGAAGATATACAGCAATCAATCTGACTGGGACCTGCTGCTACGGAGGAGGACAGTGCGGGACCTGGACTTACCGCACGATTTTACTACGCGGAGAGGGACTGTCACGGAATAAATGTTTGATCCGTGCGTGCGTGAATATTTCTGCAGTTTGAGGGGAATATGGAGCGGCTTCTGACGCGACGCGCGCTTGGAAAGGCGTGAAAATATTGGTGACGTTACGGAGGAATGTCACTGAAACTGAGGCGATCGGTATGAAATTAAAAAAAAGCCGTTTCTGGACAGCCGCAATTAAACACATCCTCACTCCTTCATGTGTCTGTGTGAATGCAAACGGGACGTCGCATTAACGGGACTGTTGCTTTTCTGAGACCTGTGGCTGGTTCGGAACCGTGATCTGGGTCGGTTCTGCGGTTCGGTGTGTGTGTGTGTTTGCGGAGGATGGGAGATTTAACGGAGTCCATGCAGAAGAAGGTCTCGGGAAGACGCGCTCATACTACAGGTGAGTCTCTGTACTGGCGACCCATATGAAAATTTACCATGATAACCGCAGTTTCCGCCAGAAAAGCGTAACGTTAGTTATTACAGTTATTGCGCTAACGAAAAAAACACAAATGTTTTTGTTTGGATATGGTACATTTATTGCGATTCTTTGAAGCACCTCTGAGTACTTTCAGTACTATGGTATTGTCACCTGTCTGTGATTGTGTACAACACAATAACTATAGCCTAACGTTAGTTATCACAGAATACCGTTAATATTGTTATCGCATTAACGAAAATTACCATGTTTTTTGGGCATATACCTTGGTAGTACTGTGGTATTCTTTGAAGTACTTTGATTATCTAATAGCATGGTATGCGAATATGGTGATCATTCTGTGCAATGTTATATTACTCAAAAAGGTACTATGCTTTACCATTTGATGCCAAAG